GTGTTTTTATGTTGTGTTTTTATGTTGTGAACGGCCCTGAAACCTGCAGTTACAAATTGAATTGTAATAATAATAATGGGGAGAGAGGGGCAGAGAGGAGCCCAAAGAGCCCAATGTGGCAGCTGCAACAAAGCAAAAACTATGGTTCCTCTTAGCAATCTGGACCCCTCCCCACCTCACCCCTCCTTTGCTCATTCACCTCCATCCATTCCATCGCTCCTCAGCCGTGATTGGTTCAACTCTTTGAAAAAGCATCTGTAACGGGGAGAAGAGAAACGTGGGGCTCTTTAAAGGGAGCCCCGTCATGTCCTTCCCTCAAACTGCGCTGGCCACCGGGCCCCACTGCCCCTCCTGGTGCTGAGCTCAGGGGCCCTCCTCTCCCAGAGGGTCTGCCTTTGATTTCCAACCCGCCTTTGTTCCCCGAGCCTCTTTTCGCACGCACATCCTTTCCTCCGCCCTCCCGACTCTCGGCTGGGACACGGAGCACGGAGGAAGAGCTTTCTCCCACTCCGGTACCAGGTTGCTGGCTTGTGAGGCTGTGCTGTATTTTTAATTGAACTGTCTTTTCGGGGAGATACATGCCTGGCTCCGCATTCCAACTGCTTGGTGTGCGTTAGGAGATCCAGCTGTAAGGCAGCGTAGATGCATTTGCAGCTCGGAGGAGGAGAGAGAGGCTGGGAACTGATGGATGGACCAGAGGAATAGGGTGTGTGTGTGTGTGTGTGTGTGTGTGTGTGTGTGTGTAGGTTTCGATTATCTGTGCCACTTCCGTTGCAGTTATAAGGATAACTCCAGAGAGGCTGCCTTGTTTTAAGGCTGTCGTCTCAACACCAAACAGCAGCACTGTGGCACCTTCAGAGGGGAGCAGATTTATTGCAGCATAGCGCACATCATCAGGGAGCTTATGCCATAATAAACGTGCCGTTCCACAAAGTGCCACAGCGCTCTGGCTCATTCAGATTTCTTTCTTTCTTTCTTTCTTTCTTTCTTTCTTTCTTTCTTTCTTTCTTCCTTCCTTCCTTCCTTCCTTCCTTCCTTCCCACTCACTTTTGCAAATAAATAAGCAAGCGGATGTCGAAATACCAATGATCACCATAGGACACTCAACAGGAAGGGAAAGCAATCTGGGACTAATAAAGGAAGAAAACCTAATTTCTGCAGATATGCACGCCAGGCAGGGGAAAAGTGCAGCTGGCCCCCTCCTAGACCCGTGGCGAAGTTTTGCACCTGCCGGGCTTTTGGCGACAGGCCAGCAGTAGCAACCCCCCTCCTCCCAAAAAAGGACCAAAATACCCTTTGGGAAAGGCCCTCAGCTCAGTAGCAGAGCACAGGCTTTCCATGCAAAAGGTCCAGGTTCTGTGTCCAGGTAGGGGAGAGTACAGATTCCTAGGAACCTAAGAAGGTTGTTCTGGATCAGGACAAATCCAGTCCAGCATCCTGTTCTCACAGTGGCCAACCAGATGTCCTAATGGGAATCCCGCAAGCAGGACATGAGAGCTCTCCTCTCCTCTGATTTCCGGCAGCCGATATTCAGAAGTGTTTGCTGCCTCCAGCTGTAGAGACAGAGCACATCCATCATGGCTAGTAGCTATTGACAGCCTTCTTCCCTGTAAATTTGCCAACGCTTTTGCAGCCATCCAAGTTGGCAGCCATCACATCTTCCTGCAGGAGTGAGTTCCATAGTTTAACGACACGCTGCACGAAGAAGACTTTACTTTTATCTGTCCTGAATCTTTCTACATTCAACTTCGCTGGCTGTCCGTGAGTTTTTCGTGTTTTTAGGCAGAGAGAACAACCCTGTGTGTGATACCCTGGGAAGCTGCTGCCTGTCCGTGTCAACGGTACAGACCTAGATGGACCAGTGGTCTGATTCAGTATATGGCAGCTTCTTGTGTTCTTGGGTAGAAGGCAAAAGGGCATCACAGCCTTTCGCAAGGAGATGTGGCTTTTGTCTGTGAGTGTAGTCAGCAGTTCTTAGGCAATGGCAATTTTTGTGGGGGATGAGCTGCTTTGTGGGTGAATATACACTTGTGGTCTGTGTTGACAGCAATGAGGCCGTGTGGGGGTTATAAGCCCTGGCAAGCAGCCATACAATTCATGAGTGCATGTTTGCACGTCTGTGTCATGGAGAGCACATATAGTGTGTGCAAGCAGAGAGGGTGTTTGCATCCTGGCTCCCACCCAGACCCCTTACTTGAGAGTAAGGAAAAATCACAGAGGTGGAAGAAATCCCAAGTGTCATGTAGTCCAACCCCCTGCAATGCAGGAATCTCAGCTAAAGCATGATGGATAGCCACCCAACCTCTGATTAGAGGTATTTACTGAGGCAGAGAAGACACAGCAACAGTTGATGACTTCCTGCAGCTGCTCTACTCAGGCTAGAGGCCAGGGAAGGTGAGGCCAGCCAGGCGAGAAGCAGAGGTCCACGTCTTAAGGAGTCAATGTGCAATTCATTGGAGGTTTTTAAGCAGGTGTTGGAGGGCCAATCTGTCATGGGTGCTTTAGTTGAGATTCCTGCATTGCTGGGCATTGGGCTAGATGACCCTCGGGGTCCCTTCCCACTCTACAATTCTGTTATTCAATAAATCCCAAGATCAGGGCAAGGAGATCAGAACTACACAGTAGCAACAACATTGTCCCAATGAGATGGCACACCCACCCGCCAAGCTTTTAAAGACTGGGCAAAACACATTCTTTTCCAAGACTCTCTTGCCGTGCAGGATTGCTGACCTTGTAAGATGCTCACTGCACCAGGAAGGATGTACAGTGGTACCTCGGGTTACAGACGCTTCAGGTTACAGACTCTGCTAACCCAGAAATAGTACCTCAGGTTAAGAACTTTGCTTCAGGATGAGAACAGAAATCATGCGGCACCGGGAGGCCCCATTAGCTAAAGTGGTGCTTCAGGTTAAGAACCATTTCAGGTTAAGAACGGACCTCCAGAACGAATTAAGTTCTTAACCCGAGGTACCACTGTATCTGTTTCTTCTGACAGGAGGGCCTCTGGACCACTAGGTTGTGCCTGCCTTTTCTGACTCTGCTTGCTCTATCCCTAGCGGTGGGCTGACACCCTTCCAAGATTCTGTTGCTGCTCTCCTTTCCTCAGGAGGGAAGGAGCGTGGTGGGAGTCCTGCTTCTTCAACCGAGGCAGCCAGATCCTGGCAGGGAGATATACTTCCCTCCTCCAGCCTCTATTCCCCATCCTCACCTCCTACTCCACGCCAACCTCCCGTTCCCTCCTGTTCATCCATCCCGGCGATACCTCAGGACTCGTGGCATTTTGCATGCCAGTGCTCAGTTGGCTGCTGCCCATCTGCTCCACAGTCTGGGTGTCAAGGGCGACATACCTGTGTGCTGTGGGCAAATGTTCATGCAGGTGTGGGCACATCTTTTGCAGCAGGCGGGCGTAGCTCGCATCTAGCCTGCGGGCTTCAGCAAAGCTAGAGAATGACGGGTCGGGTTCCAACCCAGCCAGCTACGTTTTCTTCCCCCAGTCAGGGTGTGCGTGTGCGTATGGAAAAGAAAAGAAGACATTCCGAGAAGCAGCGAGGAAAAAGGGTGGGAGCATCATTATAATGCGTGATGTTTTATTATGTTTTTATATATGATGGAAGCCGCCCAGAGTGGCTGGGGCAAGCCAGTCAGATGGGCGGGGTACAAATAATAAAATTGCTATTTTACAGTGGTACCTCTGATTGCGAACGGGATCCGCTCCGGAGCCCCGTTCGCAACCTGAGCAGAACGCAACCTGCGCATGCACGGGTTGCAATTCATTGCTTCTGCGCATGCGCGTGACATCATTTTGAGCATCTGTGCATGCGCAAGCGGCAAAACCTGGAAGTAACCCTATCCGGTACTTCCGGGTTGCCGCGGGACGCAACCTGAAAACGCTCAACCTGAAGCGTCTTTAATCCGAGGTATGACTGTATTCTTATTCTTATTATTATTATTATTAGAAAATAATAAGAGCCTGCTGGATCAGGCCAATGGCCCATCTAGTCCAGCATCCTCTTCTCACAATAACCAACCAGATGCTTGCCGGAAACCGGCAAGCAGGATTTGAGCACAAGAACAACCTTCTTCACTGTAATTCCCAGCAGCTGACATTGCTGCCTCACCATTGAAGCAGAGCAGAGCCGTTGTAGCTCATAGCCATTGACAGCCTTATCGTCCACGAATTTGCTTAATCCTCTTCTGAAGCCACCTGGGTTGGTGGCCATCACCACCTCTTGTGGCAGCGAGTGCCAAAGTTTAACTATGTGTCACATGATGAAGTACCGTATTTTTTGCTCTATAAAACTCACTTTTCCCCTCCTAAAAAGTAAGGGGAAATGTGTGTGCGTCTTATGGAGCGAATGCAGGCTGCGCAGCTATCCCAGAAGCCAGAACAGCAAGAGGGATTGCTGCTTTCACTGCGCAGCGATCCCTCTTGCTGTTCTGGCTTCTGAGATTCAGAATATTTTTTTTCTTGTTTTCCTCCTCCAAAAACTAGGTGCGTCTTGTGGTCTGGTGCGTCTTATAGAGCGAAAAATACAGTACTTCCTTTTATTTCCCCTGAATCTTCCCTTCGGCTTCATTGGATATCTATGAGCTCTCATGTTTTGGAGACAGGGAGAAGGATTTTTCTCTGCCCACTTTCCCCATGCCATGTATAATTTTAAAAACCTATATTGGTGCTGCCTCCTAACTCAGCTTTTCTCGAAACTAAAGAGTCCCAAACGCTGCAAACTTTTTCCGTGGGAGAGTCACTCCATCTCCACGACTGTTTTGGTCGCCCTTCTCTGAACTGTGGATCTCCGACACACAAACAAGGGATCCTGATGCCACTGCCCATACAGATCTGCTTTGTGCGTGTTTGCAGGGGCAGCGCAGGGGTGCAATCTAACCGCCTCCCACGTGAAAATATTCCCTCTCAAAATTCAAACACCTGAAGCGGCTCATTAAAAAAGCAATTAAAATACACAAAAAACCAGCAACGGCCACACAAAGAAGCATAACCACACCGAAGGATAGCTCAAGTCGGTAGAGCATGAGATTCTTAATTTCAGGATCGTGGGTTCAGGCCCCACGTTGGGTGAAAGATTCCCACATTTCTGGGAGTTGAACTAGGCGATCCTTGCAGTCCCTTCCAATTCTATGATTCTGTGATCAGTTGGGGCGGGGGCGCAAGACCAGCATCGTGGCAACAGCAGAACAGAACAGACCAGCCCTCTTCATTCTTCCCAACCATGCAAAAGAAAAAGAAATCCAAGACACACACAAAAAATCAGTAGTGCCTCAAAAGGTCAATAGCAAGGAGGTCAAGAGAAAACCCCAGGGGGGAGAGAGTTTGAAAGCCAGAGTGCAAAGGTCGGGAAGGATCTGTTCTGTGCGCTTTCTTCCCACCCCTTGTTTAATCCCTGAAGGTGTGGGGACACAGAGCAGGCCTTCCCGTGCGCAGGCAGGTTTTTACGGGAGCATACAATCTGCACATGCTCAAACCATCAGACATGCACAGAATTGCCCTGTGCGTGTTGTCTGTGCGCCACACGGACATGACTTTCAGCAGATTGCGACAGAGCACAGGGGAGGAAGAACGGTGACGCGGTTCAGGTTGTGCTGGGGAAAGGTATTAAATATAGCCCACCGGCTGGGTGATAACAGCATCTTTGGGTGATGTTGCCAAGCGAGCAGAATCGAGACTTCCCTTAGATCTGTAGAGTTGGTGGGAGGAGAGCACACATCACTCCTGAGCCAAGACGTGCTCAATGCAAAACCTGCATCTTGTCAACATCCCCAGCTGAAAACACACAAAAGCAGGTCTCTCGCTGTTCGGCGGCGCAGCAGAGAACTGCAAAAACCCAGAGTGGTTTTATCACTGCTGTTCTCCGCTGCCTTCCTAATAGACGTCAGTTGTAAAGAGCAGACAGATTCCAGATGGAGCTACAGCAATTGCGGAGCGGTGCTTGGGAGATATTGTGTCGGTGCGGGGTGGGGGGGAATGGGGAGAGGGAAGGAGGGGGAAGGGTGAGGAGGAGCATCCAGGCCAGAGAGCTGAGGAACTGCAGGATCAAATGCTGGAAGGGACAGATCCTGGGCCTTGCAACCAGATTATAGGAGCCAGAAATATCAGAATATAATCTCTCTGATGTTTTAACAACGAAAATGTTTGGAGGAGGGATGCAAAAATACAGCTAAGGATGGATGAATCTGTCAATTCCGGCTTCTCTTTTTTGTTCCAATCTGATAAGCACATTTTTTTGCAAGCAATTCCCCCACATTTTTGTATGCTTCTCCCCCACAAAAATATGCATTTTTATGGGCAATACTCCCCACCATGAGCGTTTTTGTCCACTTTGGTTCGAGAGGTGCACCGTTTGAAGGATAGCTGCGTTTCGGCTCACATAGTGGTTCAAGAAGTGCAAATTAGGCTGTGTCTCATCAAAATGCAAACAGCAACGAATTTCTTCCCCTACCCCTACTCCCGCCATCCGTAGCCAGGACACCACTGCCGACTTCGTATTGACACGAAGAGAGCACGGAATGGGTGACCGACCCGTGCTTGCTGGTGCATGCAAAGCCTAGTTGCATCTCCTCTTTACCAACCTCAGCTGTGCCCCTGAAAATAATTCTGGTGCGCTAGCCTGGGACTTGGGTTAATTGGCTTCCTCTAGGCACACCTTCAGCTGGATGGCTGCTACCTTCCTAATCGCCTTGCCCAAGTCCTCGAACGGACTGCATCACTTCTAAGTGGAACGTTTCAAATGTTCCCTGTGTACGAAAAGGTCCCTGCAATGAGAAACCAGCTCAGCGTGCAAGGGCTGGCCTTTGTCCCTGATGTGCTATGCTTCTTCCTTCGGGGTGTTGTTTGCTTTTTAACCGGGGGAGCATTCAGAAAAGGGGTGTAGTATGAAATGGTATGGATTGTTCCACCACCACCTCCTGCTGTTGTGAGTCCACACACACATCATTCTCTTGAGGCTGATTTCTTTACATCTTGCCAAATTTTCTCCCTGGTTTTTTGGGGAGTGGGTTACAAGAGAGACTCCATTCTCTCCTCATCCCTTCTTTAAAGTCAGAACGTTGCACCCAGACTGGAATAATGCTTTTTACAGCGGTGAAAGAACAGTTTGTTGTTGTTTACTATCTATCCATCTAGCTATCTGTATAGTATAATGGATACTGCCTATCCATTATGTATGTACACACCCACGTACATATATAATTTTAAGCATTCGCCTCATGTGTTTATTTGCTTTTAAAGCACAGGCAACAGGGGAGAAGGGCTGGGGGAGATACAAGGTGGAAAGGTGGAAAGCAGGGAAGAAGAAAATCCATTTGTTTGAACCCCCCCTTGTCTTTCTCTCTCTCTCTCCCCGCTCTGCACAGATAACAAGGCCCAGCCATGCAGTCCTTCCGCGAAAGGTGTGGTTTCCATGGCAACCAGCAGAACTACCAGCCGGCATCTTCGCAAGATTCATCACGCCTGGAGAATTACAGGCATCAAAGCCAGGCCGGGCCTCACTGCGAGCGTCAGAGGATGGTGGCGAAGGAGTACTACGGCCAGCAGCAGCCCCAGCCGCCGCCGCAGCCCCCCCTGCCTTACCAGGGGTACGGAGAGAACAGCACCGTGGAGAAATATCACAGGGGGAATAAGCAGCTACGCAGCCAGCAACTCCCAGGCCGGCCGGCATCCTTCCCAACTTACGCTGTCCAAGAGAACAGTCCCTATCCGGCCCGTTATTCCGGAGAGGAAGGCCTGCAAGCCTGGGGGTCACCGCAGCAACAGCCGCCTCCACCGCCGCAACCCTTGCCAGGAGGGGTGGCTAAATATGAGGAGAACTTGTTGAAAAAGACAGCCGCCTCCTCTGGCACCAGGCAATACCATGAGCAGGCCCCTCAGCTCCCATTCCGAACTCACTCCCTGCACCTCCAACAGCAGCAGCAGCAGCAGCAGCAGCCCACCTTGACCTACCCCAAGCTCCCGAGGCAGAAGATCCAGAATGACGTGGCCTCCCCCATGTCGTTCCCGCAGGGCACCCACTTCACCCAGCATTCCCAGTCGTTCCCGGCCTCCTCGACGTACACGTCCGTCCAGAGCGGGAGCCAGGCCGCGCATTCCTACAAAAGCTGCAACGCTCCCTCGGCGGCACCGCAGCATGAAAGGACTCTGGGGAATGCTGCCAGCCTACCCTCTGGGCAGCGGGTCCAGGGCCTACATGGCTACCAGCCTAACCGAATCAGCTACGACCAGCAGCAGCAGCAACAGCAACAACAACAGCAGCAGCAGCAGCAGCAGCAGTCCATGCAAGGAAGACACCATGCCCAAGAAGCCCTTCACTATCAAAACCTCGCAAAATACCAACATTACAACCAGCCGGGACAGAGCTACTGTCAAGCCGATGCCCCTGTGCGGACTCCAGACCAGTATTACCAAACGTTCAGCCCCAGTTCCAGCCATTCCCCGGCTCGTTCGGTTGGTAGGTCTCCCTCGTACAGTTCAACGCCTTCCCCGTTGATGCCCAACTTGGAGAATTTCCAATACAGCCAGCAGTCTCTGAGCACGGGGAACTTCCCAGCCAGCCTCTCCGACCACAGCCATTTTATGCCTTTGTTGAACCCTTCACCGACCGACGGGGCAAGCCCGGATGCCCAGCCGCCCACAAACTGCAAGAGCATGCCGAAGGAGAAGATCCCTGAGAACCTCTTGTCCGATCTCAGCCTGCAGAGCCTCACGGCGCTCACCTCCCAAGTCGAAAACATTTCCAACACCGTCCAGCAGCTTCTCCTCTCCAAGTCCACAGGGATGCCCCAGAAGAAAGGCATCAAGAACCCGCCAAGGACCCCAGAGCAGCTCAAGGGTCAGCACTGCAGCCCCGAAGGCAACAATTACTCTGCTGAGCAGGCGGGGACTCCCCTTTCAGACCCCCTGAGCACCCCGCAGTCGGTCCACGCTGAAACCCAGGATGGGGATTACTTGAGTGGATCTGAGGAGCAGCTGGAAAGAAGCTTCCTCTACTGCAACCAGAGCCGCAGCCCAGCTCGCGTCAACAGCAACTCCAAGGCAAAGCCCGAGTCCGTATCCACGTGCTCGGTGACTTCTCCGGACGATATGTCCACCAAGTCGGACGATTCTTTCCAAAGCATCCACACCAGCTTGCCGCTGGAGAGCTTCACCAAGTTTGTGACCAACGAGAGGGATTGCCCCAGACTGCTCCTCAGCGCCCTGTCTCAGGAGGAGCTCGCCTCTGAGATCATCGGTTTGCAAGATGCTATCAACGAGAAAGCAGACAAAGGCTGGGCCAGCCCCCCTGCTCCAAACAAAGACCCTGACAAATCCCCTTTCCACTTAGAGAACCACAGAACCTGCCTGGATTCCATAGTCAAAAGTCCGTGGTCCAATCAGGGGGACTCAAATGCCCTCGCTGAGCCCTTGAAGTTGGACAAAGCTCTGGGGGGGAATAACGGGAAGAATTTCACAGAGGAAGTCTACAACAACTCCCAGGTGGCGTTTACAACAGCGGAGACGAAAAATACCCTGAAAACGACCAGCTCTGTGGGCTACAATTCCAAACCCAACATCTCGGCTGCCACTTCCAGCTCCGAGGCCACAAGCTTCAGCTGCTACTCAAATGCCACGGCCAATTCAGTGGGTTCTGAAAACGCCATGGAGAACTTCGACTGGCCGGACGAAAACCTCAGCGACACGTGGAAAGAGCTGGGGTCGAGCCTCCAAGGATCAGACCTTTCCAAGAGTTTGTTCTCTGGCAAACTGAGCGAGACGTCCGAGGAGAAAAAAAATGCTTGCTGCCTGAGTCTCTGCGATGCTGAGCAGGCGCCCCAACAAGCAGAGGGCTTCAATCAGCCACAGGAGGCAAGCAAGGGAGAGAATCTGACTTACGACGAGGCCACCAGAGCAGACAGTGAGCGATGGCTGGAAGACACCACCAGGCAGTCCTGCTCAGGAGGAGACTTCAGTGAACTCCCCATGATGTCCTCTCCAGACCTGAAAGAATCCGATTTGGAACCTGAAGAGTACTCCTCTTTGTGTGAACTAGCGGCTTCTGAACAAAAGTCTTTGACCTATGATGCTTTTACA